TTTAATGCAAATTTGGGTACATATAAAAGAAAGCATGACAAATTACAGGGTGAACTCGGTTGCTTCGTTTCTATAACCGTTTAATGTTTTCTTCGTTTTTCTCAGTAACTAATTACTCAATTACTTTGTAAATTAGCACAGATGTAGAGCAGGACAGATACATTAGGATGCTGTTTCCCGTTCGTCTCTATCTTGAGTAGTTTAGGAAATATTCAAGTTCAAAACTTCAAACGCGAATATCTCGGAAACGGTAAGAGCTAGAGCAAAATGACCCAGAGGTCCACGGGCAGACCCTAAAATGAAGTACATGGGGAGCTCTATCGACCTACGCAATAAAAACAATTTTTTTTTTCGAATTTTCAAAATTTTTTCAAAAGTCCACTTTTCGTCGATTTCAGATTTCATAGTCGAAAAAAATTTATTTTTTATCTAAAATGTGGACAGAACATCGCGAAACCAATACCTTTTTAAACTGGTCTCGCCATCTATGGACGAATTAACAAACAAGGGGCAATTAATAGTAGAATACTGTTTTGATATCTTCCTTGTTTTCACAATTTGTCAGTAGATGGCGCCACCAGTACAACTAACTAGAGTACGGCCATTTTTTATCCATAATTTTTTTTTCTCCGATTTCACTGAAATTTGGTACAGAAAATCAGGATGTAAAACGTAATGTTGGAGTGGTGTCTGTTACTCAATCTCTCCTCGTTCAGAAGTTGGAAAAAAATGCTCCAATTTAAACGAAACGTTGTATGCAGTAAGTAGAAGACAAGTACGTTTGAAGAGAGTCAGTTGCAGTTCTCTAAGTTTGCTAATTATCACACAACAAGCCTCTAGTTTTTGACTATTTAAGTTAATGAGAAAAGGACTATTTTTCTTAATGTTTTAGAGCGCATACTGTCCACTGTCCGATTTTCAACTCAATCGGAGACCATGAATTTTTCACGAAAAATCGAAAGGGTATAGCCTTCAAAAATTTTTGGTCAAATTTTTTTTTTCCTCAGATTTTAATGCAAATTTGGGTACATATAAAAGAAAGCATGACAAATTACAGAGTGGACTCGGTTGCTTCGTTTCTATAACCGTTTAATGTTTTTTTCGTTTTTCTCAGTAACTAATTATTCAATTACTTTGTAAATTAGCACAGATGTAGAGCAGGACAGATACATTAGGATGCTGTTTCCCGTTCGTCTCTATCTTGAGCAGTTTAGGAAATATTCAAGTTCAAAACTTCAAACGCGAATATCTCGGAAACGGTAAGAGCTAGAGCAAAATGACCCAGAGGTCCACGGGCAGACCCTAAAATGAAGTACGTAGGGAGCTCTATCGACCTATGCAATAAAAACAATTTTTTTTTTCGAATTTTCAAAATTTTTTCAAAAGTCCACTTTTCGTCGATTTCAGATTTCATAATCGAAAAAAAATTATTTTTTATCTAAAATGTGGACAGAACATGGCGAAACCAATACCTTTTTAAACTGGTATCGCCATCTATGGACGAATTAACAAACAAGGGACAGTTAATAGTAGAAAACTATTTTGATATCTTCCATGTTTTCACAATTTGTCAGTAGATGGCGCCATCAGTACAACTAACTAGAGTACGGCCATTTTTTATCCATAATTTTTTTTTTCTCCGATTTCACTGAAATTTGGTACAGAAAATCAGGATGTAAAACGTTATGTCGGAGTGGTGTCTGTTACTCAATATCTCTCCTCGTTCAGAAGTTTGAAAAAGGTGCTCCGATTTGGACGAAACGTCGTATACAGATATTAGACGATTAGTAGGTTTAAATAAACACACAAGCAGTTTTCTATGTTTGCCAATTATCGAGAAACAAGCCTCAACTTTTTGTCGATTTAGTTTAGTGGGAAACGGACTTATTTTCTTACCGATTTAAAGCGCATACTGTCCACTGTCCGATTTTCAGCCCAATCGGAGACCATAAATTTTTCACCAAAAATCGAAAGGGTATAGCCTTCAAAAATTTTTGCACAAAATTTTTTTCATCTCCGATTTCGCTGAAATTTGGTACAGAGAATCAGGATGTAAAACGTAATGTCGGAGTGGTGTCTGTTACTCAATATCTCTCCTTGTTCAGAAGTTGGAAAAAGATGCTCCAATTTGGACGAAACGTTGTATGCAGTAAGTAGAAGACAAGTACGTTTGAAGAGAGTCAGTTGCAGTTCTCTAAGTTTGCTAATTATCACACAACAAGCCTCTAGTTTTTGACTATTTAAGTTAATGAGAAAAGGACTATTTTTCTTAATGTTTTAGAGCGCATACTGTCCACTGTCCGATTTTCAACTCAATCGGAGACCATGAATTTTTCACGAAAAATCGAAAGGGTATAGCCTTCAAAAATTTTTGCACAAAATTTTTTTCATCTCCGATTTCGCTGAAATTTGGTACAGAGAATCAGGATGTAAAACGTAATGTCGGAGTGGTGTCTGTTACTCAATATCTCTCCTTGTTCAGAAGTTGGAAAAAGATGCTCCAATTTGGACGAAACGTTGTATGCAGTAAGTAGAAGACAAGTACGTTTGAAGAGAGTCAGTTGCAGTTCTCTAAGTTTGCTAATTATCACACAACAAGCCTCTAGTTTTTGACTATTTAAGTTAATGAGAAAAGGACTATTTTTCTTAATGTTTTAGAGCGCATACTGTCCACTGTCCGATTTTCAACTCAATCGGAGACCATGAATTTTTCACGAAAAATCGAAAGGGTATAGCCTTCAAAAATTTTTGGTCAAATTTTTTTTTTCCTCAGATTTTAATGCAAATTTGGGTACATATAAAAGAAAGCATGACAAATTACAGAGTGGACTCGGTTGCTTCGTTTCTATAACCGTTTAATGTTTTTTTCGTTTTTCTCAGTAACTAATTATTCAATTACTTTGTAAATTAGCACAGATGTAGAGCAGGACAGATACATTAGGATGCTGTTTCCCTTTCGTCTCTATCTTGAGCAGTTTAGGAAATATTCAAGTTCAAAACTTCAAACGCGAATATCTCGGAAACGGTAAGAGCTAGAGCAAAATGACCCAGAGGTCCACGGGCAGACCCTAAAATGAAGTACGTAGGGAGCTCTATCGACCTATGCAATAAAAACAATTTTTTTTTTCGAATTTTCAAAATTTTTTCAAAAGTCCACTTTTCGTCGATTTCAGATTTCATAATCGAAAAAAAATTATTTTTTATCTAAAATGTGGACAGAACATGGCGAAACCAATACCTTTTTAAACTGGTATCGCCATCTATGGACGAATTAACAAACAAGGGACAGTTAATAGTAGAAAACTATTTTGATATCTTCCATGTTTTCACAATTTGTCAGTAGATGGCGCCATCAGTACAACTAACTAGAGTACGGCCATTTTTTATCCATAATTTTTTTTTTCTCCGATTTCACTGAAATTTGGTACAGAAAATCAGGATGTAAAACGTTATGTCGGAGTGGTGTCTGTTACTCAATATCTCTCCTCGTTCAGAAGTTTGAAAAAGGTGCTCCGATTTGGACGAAACGTCGTATACAGATATTAGACGATTAGTAGGTTTAAATAAACACACAAGCAGTTTTCTATGTTTGCCAATTATCGAGAAACAAGCCTCAACTTTTTGTCGATTTAGTTTAGTGGGAAACGGACTTATTTTCTTACCGATTTAAAGCGCATACTGTCCACTGTCCGATTTTCAGCCCAATCGGAGACCATAAATTTTTCACCAAAAATCGAAAGGGTATAGCCTTCAAAAATTTTTGCACAAAATTTTTTTCATCTCCGATTTCGCTGAAATTTGGTACAGAGAATCAGGATGTAAAACGTAATGTCGGAGTGGTGTCTGTTACTCAATATCTCTCCTTGTTCAGAAGTTGGAAAAAGATGCTCCAATTTGGACGAAACGTTGTATGCAGTAAGTAGAAGACAAGTACGTTTGAAGAGAGTCAGTTGCAGTTCTCTAAGTTTGCTAATTATCACACAACAAGCCTCTAGTTTTTGACTATTTAAGTTAATGAGAAAAGGACTATTTTTCTTAATGTTTTAGAGCGCATACTGTCCACTGTCCGATTTTCAACTCAATCGGAGACCATGAATTTTTCACGAAAAATCGAAAGGGTATAGCCTTCAAAAATTTTTGGTCAAATTTTTTTTTTCCTCAGATTTTAATGCAAATTTGGGTACATATAAAAGAAAGCATGACAAATTACAGAGTGGACTCGGTTGCTTCGTTTCTATAACCGTTTAATGTTTTTTTCGTTTTTCTCAGTAACTAATTATTCAATTACTTTGTAAATTAGCACAGATGTAGAGCAGGACAGATACATTAGGATGCTGTTTCCCGTTCGTCTCTATCTTGAGCAGTTTAGGAAATATTCAAGTTCAAAACTTCAAACGCGAATATCTCGGAAACGGTAAGAGCTAGAGCAAAATGACCCAGAGGTCCACGGGCAGACCCTAAAATGAAGTACGTAGGGAGCTCTATCGACCTATGCAATAAAAACAATTTTTTTTTTTTCGAATTTTCAAAAGTCCACTTTTCGTCGATTTCAGATTTCATAGTCGAAAAAAATTTACTTTCCTGGTATTTTTTTATCTAAAATGTGGTTATAAACTGGTCACGCCATCTAAGGACAGGTACATAAACAAAGAGAAGTTAATAATAGAATATACTGTTTTAATATGTCCTTGTTTTGATAAATCGTCAATAGATGGCGCCACAACTATAACTAAGTAGCGTTCAGCCATTTTTTGACCATTTTTTTTGCAAAAATGATTTCGTTCTTTTCAATAACTACCGAATTACTCTCTAAATATGCACAGATGTAGAGAAAGACAGATAAATTAGTATCTTCTTTTCCTTTTATTAAATATCTAATTAGGATACAAATTTTAAAATCATTTCAGGATGGAATAAATTAAAATTTCAAAATATTTTTTATAATTTTTTAATTTACAAAACATAAATAATTTATTTACAATTTATATTCCACAAATATCTTAGAAAGCATAATGTACAAGTCCAGAATCAAAGCTGATGTGAGAAACAGCTGGTGCAGCAGAGTATGCGACTCCGATAAGAGAATGTCCTAGAGGTTCAGTAATGTGTACTCCAGGATTGGACACTCTAACATCAGACTTCCTTACGCTGGAGAATGGGGTATCGATGGTCTTCGAGTAAGTTGAAATTTGACCAAGGTTTCCGAAACTGCGGTAGATGTTTGATGATTGAGAAGTCAATGCAGGCGCTGAGTAGGATAAAGGTGCAGCAAGTGCAGGTGCTGAGTACGAGAAAGGTGCTGCAGCAATTGCCGGCGAGGAGTAGGTGATGGCTGCTGGGGCTCCTATTATACCAGCGCTGGTGTAGGCCAAGAGCGAGCAGAGAACAATCAACTGAAAATAAAAAAAATATGTTAATATTGACAAAAGTATTATCAAAAATTAACTAAATTAGTTTAACACCTCAAAGGTAAGGTGTATTAAGCATAGAAATAGTATAGAAAGCCGATTCCATATATCAAAAATGAAACCATAAGGAGAAAATAGTGCGTCGGAGCTCATGCGTATAACGGTGCTGGCGCGAACAGGACCGGTGCAAGTTTTTTATTGATCGAACAAATAGTTCGCACGATATTTAAATCATACATTTTTAGAGATGATTATATACAAAAAACGATTAAAAAAATTTCAAGTTAAGGTAAATATGGTTCTGACAGTCCTTATTAAGAAAGATATGGCATAAAATATGAATTAGTTAATTTTCGGCAATCATTAGTACAGTAGTCATGAGATTTTGCTTGTGATTTTAAAAATACTTTCCAGAAAAACCACGTGCTCCGGTTTTGACTACGTTTATTATTAAACAGCGAAATTATATACAAAAACTTTAATCCACAATCTAAATTAGATACTATCACAAGAAAATCACTGTTACAATAATTAATTACTTAACCAAAAACTAAAATACTTTTTAGGTACCTACGTAACCAGAAAGGAGCTGGACCATTTATCCTAATATTGATTTTCTCTCTCCCTACGGTAAAACTTAAAACAATAACAAATTGCCTATCTACTAGGGTCGGTAACTAAACGTATATACATAATGGGCGGATTTTGTTTATACTTAACATTACTTGGTACATATTTTATTTTAATTTTGAACCTTTTTAAAAGGGTCTTTCGGTTCCATAATAAAAATTAGTTGCTGCTTACTAGAAACATTCTATATAGCCTAAACCAATTTATAGTTTGTTTTCGATCAATTTAATACAAAGATTTAAAGTTTTTAGTCGATGATAACATTCCACACCAGCACATTGCAAACCTATTTTATAAATAATAGGAATAAACTTGTAAATCATTAATTTGGTAGTTATCTCACTCATATGATTTTTTTGTTTATATGACTATTTCGATTTCTAAATATATTTTGGCCTTACAATACGAAGCGTTTTGTATCTACCACTTTTTTAATGAACGATGAATGTTGGCAGGCGTGTACCTTTTTCGGAACAAGAGGCGTTTTAACGAAGGAAATGATTTTCGAACTATCTAGTTAGTTTTCGGAAAAATAGAAAACGTTTGAAGAAAGTTGTCAATAACAGTTTGTCGTTCATGTGTTTCATTTTGATCAGCTTTCATACTAAATTGCGTAGAATATTTTTCCGATTCAAAATCGAGATTCTCGATATTTCCACAGTTTATTTATAATACCTTCTAAACTGGATTTATCTATCATTTTATATACTTTATAATATATGTTCATGCCCTACTTTTCACTTTATTAACAATTTTTTTTAACACACTTCAAAATGGTAGAATATTCTCAATTCGTTGAAATATTTTTTTTATGTATGTTGAGCGATAATTCTTTACCACGTTGCCCGATTTCTAGGATTATTTTTGTTAGAAAAGGAAACAGTTTTATATACATTAAGTCAAGATCTGAAGATGGGATCCATAAGAAAATCATTAACATCTTTATTTTTAAAGTAGGTTTTTTTTTTTTTAATTTCTTTAAACCTTACTGGTTCGAACGCGGTAAGGAATGAAGAAATGTAAATAATTGTTGTGCCAGCCAAAAAGCGAAGAGGAAGTACCGATTAAAATATCGAGTGACAGAAGAGTTCCTAAGATTGTTGAGATCGGGTTTATGTTTTAAAATGCCTTAAAACCGATATCGATAATGTCTCCCCGTCGCTGGGCAGCCTGTATATAAATATACAGCTCTCTATTTAAATAATTATAATTCTTAGGTAGGTTTAGATTTGCAGACATAAATCTTGTAATAAATATAACAGCTGCCTAATACATTGATTACATTTTCATTAGCCAATGTAAAAATGTCTTTTATTGTACCTAGGATTTGACTAAACACTACACAAAACTAAAAATAAAATGCCACTTTCATCGTGTAATTAATGCCGCGTTTGAGAATCCACATCGGATGCATTTTTTACATCTCAAGCGTTTTTTATCCACATCGGACACATCTGTCCCATTACATTTACGTATACTGAATCACGTGATCAAAGATTTACTACTTACTACATCTCAGATGCATCCGATGTGGATTCTCAAACGCGGCATAAATAATAAACTACAAACGGTCCTGTAAGGGCAGCGTCATATAGCCTTGAAACACCGGATTTTAGTGCTATTGCCAGGTCAATATTGAATTTGTAGGTGAATCGCTTATTGAACATTAAAAATACGGTATTAATGACATTAATACGGTATTTGTATATATTTTTGGGAATGTAATTACACATAAATATTATTAGTTGATTATTTAAATGTGTATAAGTTATTTTGTGGCGATATTTCGTAGATATAAACTGTTTAAATCATATAATTTAAAAATTAATTAATTTAAAATTCTTTTCTGTTAGGTATGTTTAATATATTTGGCAACACTACAGGGACAAGTCATGCATATTGCGCAAGCTTCTAGACACACTATTTTGCGATGTCAGGCGCAGAGACGCGTTTTTATGCACAGTAGGTTTCAATTTCTGCTTAAATGTTATGTTTATATTGGTCTTCTATATTATTTCTATGGTATTAAGTCACATTTTTCGTTTTCTCCACTGATGGATTCACTATACCAAATTCTATCTAATGGAAAACAGATTTAACTCCCTAATTGCTTCATTTTGCCAAGTCGCAAAATAAGAATAATCAGTCAAAATTTTAGGTAAAAAAATCGAAATATTTAGTAAATTCACCGTTTCTTTACATTTTTTGTTTAAACAATAGGTGAATTTTAAGATTTGAGGTGCTAAACTGTAATGATAAAAAAGTTATTTTAAATGTATACCGAGTGACAATATAATCAGGATCACGTTAATATTTCTTTCCGAAAAATATGTAGTGTGATCTATTTAAAAATTAAACTTTATGGCATTTCCAGTAAAATCGAAATGGGCCATTTTGTTTGAGTAGGTATAAATATCCCAAATTTGATCCAAATCGCATAAATAAAAGAGATAATAACGTGGCCCTGGTCTCATTTGACACCCGCTATAACTTATCCCTAAAAAAAAGTATAAACTCGTATTGTTATGGAGGATATGTCGATGACATAGTAATCCTTATCCGATGGAAACACGAAACCACAGTCTTTGAACTCATGCAAAGAGCTTTTAGGCTGACACTAGTGTGGTGAGTTAGGGAACACCTCTTGGTAAACCCTGACAAGGCACAACTCGGAAAACAAGGTTGGAGGTAGAACTTTTCATGTAGTGACATTTATAAATTTGACCACATACATATCCGGGAAAATGTAGGAGATCTCTCGGATTCAGATAGAAAATTAAAAAATAAGATGAATCGGAGAGACCTCCAACATTTTTCCGAACATCCTGTACATGGGATTTCCTTATAGCAAGTTTCTGAGAAAATTAATACATTTCTGTTAAACAATTCTATAAGTTCTCATAATTTAATTAGAATTGAAAATAATTAAGTGGTTCTTATCTTATACAGGATGTAACAAAAAAGGAAATCGAATCACAGTTTCTGGGGACGAAAACAAGTAGATTTGAGCTTACATAAAAAAAGGGATAGTAAAACAGTTAAAAAGATTTTGCGTCAATCAAAAGTGGAAAAGTTATTTTTTTTTGTAATTTATTTGGTTAATTTTTCAATAAAAAAGCTGCTGCTGACTATCTAAGTACTTTGTATGAAAAGAAAGTACTTTCATATTTTAGTTCATTTTAATTATTAGTTTTCAGTTACCTACTACATACCCAAAGTATCTACATATTTAAAATACAGAGTTGTTTGCTCAATAACAAATGACAGCATTTTCAGGTTCAAGTTGTCAAAATGTGGAAAAATATAGTGACCACCCGGTATACTATTTTTAAAAATGTATATATAATTCCGATTAATTTTGCAATACTTTGAATTAAATTTTTTGCGAATCTGGTTGAAAATAAAATTAATAAGTACGATTTTTTATCTATTTTAATTAACGGAATGTTACTGGAAAATAATTTATTTTTCTTCCTCTTTAATATTAAATTAAAAACAAATGTATTTTTAGAAAATGGAAAACTATTTTTTATAATTAAATGTCAAGACAAACATATATTTTAATCTGGATGTGTTTATAAACAATATAACTATTTATAATGTAAAAAACTCAAATCCAGCAAAAATAATCAAAATTTTAAAAAATTAGTGTCTCTAGTGAGAGTTAGGCATTAAACATCCTGTATTTATAAGTTTACAATAACAAAGCCAAATTGTACTTTAGAATGTTTTTATTTAGTTTTAAATTTTATTAAGAAGGTTACTACTGTAGAAATGTATAAATAAATTTATGATAAGAATATTATATTGTTAGGCAACTGCTTTATAACAAACAATATCTCATGAAATATACAAAAATGTTTTTATTGAATTGTGGGTGGTAGCATTTCAAATTAACAATTAATATATTGTACATTAGGAATTAAGCAGAAGAGAGTACAGTAGTAAAACATCAATCCTAACAAAAAGAAAATACCGTAAATACTAAAACATACAGTATATATTGTTTAAGTAAAATTTACATACACCTTTTGATTCTAAAAAAGGCAATAGGTATTAATATTACCCTAAAGATGAAAGTTTTGAAGATGCAGGTATTTAAAGATTCAAAAGTAAGTTGAAAAGTTTCATCTCTGTGAATTTTAAACAAATGTTAAAAAAATAAAAAAATGTTTATTTTATTGGCATAAAAAATAGGGGAAAAAGTTGTCACTACCCTTGATAGCGCGCCACTGGTTAAATTATTCAAAAGTTAATTTTTTGACAAAATATTACTTACTAAAAAAGATATCTAATGACTAACAATTTATTTTCATAAAACTAATAATAAAAAACTTTTCCATACGACGTTGACTTA